GGGGGTTGAACCAATGTAAGATAACACTTTTGTAAGGTGAAAAATAATCAAGGAAAATGTAATTTATATGACAACGTAATTAAAAAAAAAAAAACATAATAAGAGAGTAACTACACTATTCACTTAGAGTAAGTTTGAGCGGTAAGCACGGCATTGTGGCGATACTGTGGACTCCGAGAGGCAAGCACGATATATTTATGTATGTCATCTGAAGTCATCTCGCACTTTATACACTGATTGGTAGATATCTGGGCTACATGACATGTAGATCTAGTCTAATTTTGATTACAATTACAGCGGTGCGGTTAAAGTGGTAAAATGATACCGTAAGTTTTTCTGGAAAAGTTCGCTTGTACCGTATTTAATTACTATGTCACATGCGTGTGTGTGCATGTTTTTCATATACTATAATTAATAATTTAAAAGTAAAACGCATAGAAGAGTGATTGTAACTCTGATTTGCGCAATATAAATGTCGTATTATTATTAAAAGCGAGTAACGTAATATTATGGGATTGGGGGGGGGGGAGTAACAAAGAAAGTGTAAGATTATATTTGGACAGCCCCAAACCACGCTGGTCACACCTACCCAATGTCAGCGAGAGCGTAAGGACCTGACGCACATGTCAGGGGACAAACTGTTTTTGTACACACATTTAAAAAAATTTTTTTTTGTAGACATTCACATTTAACTTTTGATTTTGATCCAGCAAAACTCATATTGGTTACTTTTGATTGCAATGAGCATAGCAACAATATATTCCAATAGTTCCGTGGCATTTTTTCCAGCTATACACGTCTTTCAACTTTCTTGCAACTTTTGCTAATTTTTCTTGCAACTTGTTGCAACTTTTGCTATTTTCAAATGCAACTTTCTCTGAGGACAGTTATATGCTGAGATCGTGATGTTTAGATTTTGTGTTTTCAGTCATAGTTGTTAATGATTTTAGGACTTGGGGACAGATATCTTTCTATATATTTGAATGTTTGAATTCGAATCTCTGATAGCACAGATTGTTTGTGTGTACTTGTTTGTGCCAAACAGAAGTGGTGGGAAGTTTGGTGGGGGGGGGGGGCACTATTGTGTTCTTTGCTGCTTCTTTCCTGTCGAAGGTCTATCTTCCTCATCTTTCCTTTTCTTCTTTGTGTATTACACTCTAGTAACCCGTCTAATCTTGGACACCCATGTGATCTATTTGTGTCGCAAGTGCTGTTAAACTCTTACTAAAACTGATCAGAAGTATCTGTGCAAGTAAAAGTCCTCATTAATTGTACTTTTTGACTTGGTTTTGACTAGATTTGTTGTTCTTATTTCTGTTTCAGTTTTCGATGCACTCGGACCTAGGCCAGGCTGTTCAGGCCGTCCTGGAAGAGTTTAGGAAGAACCCGCCTGCTGTTGTTCCTCAGCACTAGTAAGATTGTCAGGACTTTTTGACTTAATAAATGATGAGAGATTGTCAGGTCTTTTTGATCTTAGTACTGACAAATTGTGTGGATTTTTAAAACTTAGTTCTGATAGAGTGTCATGTCTTTTTTACTTTAATGATAACAGAGTGTTGGGCCTTTTTGACCTTAGTCTAATCACTTTGACCAGTCAAAAACCACTGGGGAAAAAATAAGGGCACTAGAAATGTACAGATTTAGTTGTTCCTGTCTGTTTTTAAATGACTTAAGACTACCATTAAATATCGACTGTCTTTTTGTACCTTAATGACTTTACACTTCCATAGAACATTGTCTGTCTTTTTGTACCTTAACTCAATTCAGCTTTGCTTGAATCTTGCGGAAAGTGGTATATGTCGCATTAATTTGACTGTATTTGCAGCTACTGTCACTGAAAAACTATGTTTTAAAATGTAAGAAACTGTCTTTTTGTACCATTAACGTATTATTGATCTTGACCTGCTCTCCTCGTGCAGCATCCTTGGCTTTAACAACCCGACCATCGGCTCCACCATGGTATCCAGCCCTCCGGTCACTTCCCTACCCAGCTACGCCGGTCACTTCCCACAGACTGCCCCCAGCTCAACTGGCCACTTCCCTCAACCCACGCCCAACGCAGCCGGCCGACACCCAACAATACCTCCACCTTTACCCCCGCGCCGCATAACAGGTGCCGCGGGGGAGTTAGGCCCTGAGCAGACATCACCTATGGCCTTCAACGCGCCGAATTTCAGTGCAGAATTCCCCACACTGAAAGATATGAAGTGAGTTAGGGAATTAAATTTTGGGGGGAGGGGTGAGTGTTTACTACCAGATTTGGTGAAACAGACTTTGGTTTTCCTAATACTGAGCAAAGATTGTGATTGTAACTGTTATATGCCCCTCTTGACAAAATTTAGATATTTAGGAGGCCGGCTGATTTGATCTTGTCTGTCAGGTGTTTTGGCCAACCTGGACTGAGAGGGATACAACATCCCTGCAGACAGATGGAGGGACTTATTAAAAACCTCCCCTCATGGGAATTGAACTCATATATTGTGTGTGCAGTGGTGAAGCGCCTAATGGCTCCGGTCAAATTGGTCTAACTGCACTCATTGTCATGTACAGTGGATTGTGTTGAGGGTAGAGCCAAGTAGTAAGTTTAGCCAGAAGTGAGTGAGGACCATAATGGTTGTCTCCACCTGCTGTATAGGCAGATGAAGGTAACTGTGTCGTTTGACAGTTTCAATGATTTCTTGTGAGTATGTTGGCAAGTTTGCATGTAGCTTTACTCGTTCGACTGAGATTTGTATTCATGTGATACCATGGAGAGGTTGATTTTTATTATTAAATTCTGTCAAAGATGGAATGAAAACAGAACATAGACTGAATTTACACAACTTTTTATTCTGAAATATGTTGAAGAATCTGTGTTGTAAGGGGTTGTATCATTGCTCTTTATATGTACACATTGTAGTTTGATGTGCTCTGTGAGCCTTTGTGCATTAAATTACAGGGAATTGGGTTCAATTCTAAGTTGACTACGATTTAGAGTAATACATAGAGTACTGTATGTATTGTAACTGAAACTTGCTTTTTTTTTTTTCTTCCAAAACTTCTACAGGCTTTCAGAGTTACATGATCTAATGGAGGATGAAGAGAGAATTCTAGAAATGGTCTTAAAAATTCCAGATCTAGGAAAGTTTGCACAGCAGAGAGAAAATCTTTCCAGTTCCTGTGTACAGCTTGCACGTGAGTCAATTTGATCTTAATACATATCGTTCAAATGTACTGAGCCTAAAATTTTGAATGAAAAAAAAAAGCGTTTTTTTATTCTTCTCAAGAAATATTTTTGTCCAAATTCAAATTCTAGATAGTGAAGAAAAAAGCAGGGAAAGATATATAAAGTAGACACAATTATTGTGAGAATATCGAATAAAAGTTTTTTCTCCTGAAAAATTCTGCTTTCTGGGCTTACGACATTTTAACAGTTTACTGAAGATATGGGTATAGTCAATACATGGGTACTGTCAGTTTGATCTTTATGGACATTGGTATTGTCAATTTGATTTTAATACATATTAGTTTAGTTAATTTGATCTTAATACACATGACGAAAGTAAACATAGGAGAAAGGATAGAATACGATGTTATATGTCCTTGCACTTTGTTTTTTTTTCTTTTCACAGAGTCTAATCTATCAAAGAAACCAGAGATTGAAAACCTGAAAGAATCCATTATTTCCAAGGTAATCCCTCCCATCTCATTAAGTGAGACCAGAAATTCACTCATACCCTTAAAAATCCCTATCTTTTGGAATGCAGTTTTGCTTGGGTTTTTGATGTTGTTCCGTGAGGCTCTCGATTCATCAAAGGTGTTTATTGTTATACCTACTTTACTTTATCTGTCCTCTTGTTCCTCTAGGGCGTCGAGGGGAGAAAGAGCTTTCCTGTCTCTAGCAAGTTTGATGGCCTGGCTGGGTGGGATATTGTATGTTTTCAGGGTATCCTTCACACCCTGGATCCAGGTCTTTCTTGGTCTTCCTCTTGCATTGTACTCTGATACTTTTCTGTAGTAGGCTTTACTGGCGAGCTGGTTAGGTGCCATACGTGTGAGATGTCCAAACCACCTGATTGTTTGCCTTCAAATGTTATGGAGGACAGATGCTGTTCCCACCACTTTTCTGATCTTGTTGTTCCTGACCATGTCACGTCTGGTTTTGTTGACTGCTCTCCTAAGACATCTCATCTCGCAGGTTGTTATCTTACGTTCCTGACTTTTGGTCAGGGTCCATGTCTGGCACTGGTAGGTCGAGGTGGAGATGAGGGTAGAGTTAATGAGCTTGGCTTTGGTCTCAATGGGAATGTGAGGATGTTTGAGGAGTTTGGCAAACTGGTAGCTGACGCTGTTAACCTTTTGTTCTCTCGTCTCAATTTCTCTGTTGAGACGTCCGTCTTCCGAAAAGATGCTACCAAGATACTTGAACTCGCTGACTTGTTTCAGCGGATTTCCGTCGATTGTGATGTTAAAGTTTCCAGGTGTTCTTCTGATTTTCATTGTCTCCGTTTTGCTTTTACTAATTTTCATGTTGAGCTTTTCACATTGTGTATTCAGCCTGTCTGTGTGCTCTTGAAGTTACTCTTATTTATTGTTATATATGTGTCACGACGCGGTGGAATCAGATGCTCGTCAATTTTGGGGCATATGGAGTTATTGGTATCATTTTAAAGACTGCTTATTTGCCTTGCTTTTGATGGAAAAAATATCCTTTTGTCTTGGATAGAAGTCAAGATATTGGCGATTGAAGGAGGTCAGGGTTACCTGGTTTCATAAGTAAAATTAGCAAGACAACGGCTGCCGAAATTAAGTTTTTCCTTAGCTTGAGAGTCCTTGGAAATAAAAAATTTAAATCTTTTATTCCTTTAATCCACATTTTTCAGTAAAATCACACAGAAATGTGTTCTTTAACTCATTTGCTACATATTAATTTCGGCTTGTGGACGAATTTTTTTCGGGAGGGCGAAAGAGATGATGACTAGTGTGCAGTTCACAGGTCTTTGGGGCCACAAATTCAAAAATATTGATTTCTCAATAACAGTGCATTGGCAATATGAGTCTAATCGTATCAATATTATAAAAAAAGAGTCCTACACTTCTTTAGTGGGCAAAATAATGATAGATTTTGTTGTGTAAAATTACTAAGACTGGTGTCTAGGCTATAATTTTGGCATCGCGATAAAACAAAGTCAAATAAACTACGAAATCGCATTTTAAAACTGAATCTAAACTTCCGATTTTCAGTGAAATGCTTGACCCGGAAGTCAATGTTTTATTATGACCTTTATTTTAACATGGATATTTGGATTGAAATAGAATCTAAGCTAAAATTGAAGATGGGTTCTCGAGCCGCCGGGGGCGGCTTAGCGTGCTGACGGCACTTTAGCCGCGCCACCGCCCACGGCTCGGCGTAGCGAATTAGTTAAAGGCCATGAAAGGTAATGAGCCAAAAAAAGGAAAGTCTATAAAAATTGCCAGTTTCTTGACTTTCGTTATTTTGACGAGCTCCGGATTTCATCACGCTGTCTCACATATGGTTCAGTTGCTCGTTATATTTCGATATATATAAGAGTAGATGCAGTTGATTGTGATGTAGTATATCTATATAAGGACAGTACTGGAATTACCAAGAAATGGCTATAAAATGGAAAGTTTTGTCATGATTGAGAATCAATTTATACAGTTGGCTAAACATTCTCCTTATTTCTCAACATAGTCCCCATGAAGTCAAGTATTTTTTGCACTGCTGCATCAGTAAATGCAAACGATCCCTGTAGAATTTTATATCAAGGGACCGTAGCCAATTTCTGGCGTTGTTCACAAGGTTTGTGTCATCGGTGATTTTCCTGACGGCTAGATATCACTGCATTGATCCAAACAGATGGAAGCCTGAAGGGGCAAGATCAGGACTGATCCAAAAAGCTTTCTTCAGGTTCTTTGAAGTCACTGGCAGGCCCAGGTCCCATGTTGTCTTTCGCATTTTGTCTTAATCATTCCTACAATGCCATGCAAACATTGTCGCGCTGTGTCTTGTGGTCATCTGTCAGCTGTTATGGATCCCACCAAGCTGATACTTTTCTGTATCCCAGCTCATTAAAAACAGTTCTGTGAACTGTTGAATTACAAAGATCTAGGGCATGAGCAGTGTCGTGGATTTTGAGCCTCCTGACATCAGGAATTAGTTTTTCAAATGCGTTCAGCATGTTTTCTGTGTTTGGGAAACTGATCATGGCCCCTAATTGTAGACCCTTGACTTACTTAATACATTCTCATCATAAATGCTTTCAAGTTCCCCTCTTTGTGAAGGAATTGAGTTGCAGCTCTAATCCCTTCTTTTGACCAATTTTGCAGTGTTTTCTATATTTGTTGTGATGTAGTAAATGGTTGCGTTGATTTTTGTTTGTTTCTAGAGGTGCACTCAAATTGAGTATTCCCTGAACTACTAAGCACTTTTCAAAGAATTTTTTTATAATAATTGAGAGTTACTTGGATATGGCCATTTTCCTGTTAATGCTGGGACAGCCGTCCTAAATGAATTTGCTGATTATGTTTGGCATGTGTGTTTGGACATTATTATTAAGGAAAGGGCCTGAGACATGGACACAGTTGTTTTTTTTCTTTCATTTTCTGTCTTGTGGGGAATTGTCCAACTACAGGAATGTTGTTGTTGTCTGATCATCCTCTCATTTTCCTGTCACTTCCCTCTCTTTCCTTCTCACTTCCCTCTGACTTCCCTCTCACTTTCCTCTCACTTTCCTCTCACTTCCCTCACACTTCCCTCTCACTTTCTTCTCACTTTCTTCTCACTTTCCTCTCACTTCCCTCTCACTTTCCTCTCACTTCCCTCTCACTTTCCTCTCACTTTCCTCACACCTCCCTCTCACTACCCTGTCTCTTCCTTCACACTTCTCTTCCGCTTTTCCTCTCACTTCCTTCACATTTCCCTCTCACTTCCGGCCTCTCATGCCTCTCTCGGATATACGCCAAGTGTTAGGTAGTTTCCTCCCCAGTAGATTTTCAGATGGTCAATAAATATAAGACAATTATCGTGATCAGTGTATCTGGTGGCCATATGTTGATTAATTTTTAATTGGTCATCAGAATGCTGAGTATGACCAGGTGAGGGCTGAGTTTGAGAGTGTCTGTCTGCGACATAATGGACTCTCGGAGCAGTTCCACCCGTCCCACATTCAGACAAACCTCAAGGTCGCTGTGATGGAAGCCGACGAAGAGTCAGAGAAACTAGCAGAGAAGTTTCTAGACAGTAAGTGATACATGTAGATCAGATGAGACAGGTATTTTGACTTTGTTGGTCTCTTCAAAGGGAACGTGTCTTTGGGGGGGTATACTTTTGCTTCTTCTTTCCTATCAAACATCTATCGCCTTTATCTCCCCTTATTCTTTTCTATGTTTGTTACTCTCTTGTAACATCTCTAATCTTCTGGCGCTCATATGACCTTATGCAGTTGCGAGCGCCGTAAAACCTCTACTAAAACTAAACTAAAACAAATGCTTTTGCTTGTAATAAACAGTGATGTGTACTATACAGTATGTATCATGCAGTAGATTTATATAGGCAATAGGGTATATCTACAATAGAATATATGCAATAAAGTATGAACACACTACAGTGTGCATGCAATTGAGCATGTGCACAATGAAATGTGTGCAATGGAATATGGTCGCTTTTAAGCACAAGGGGGCTATCCCAAAAAATGCTGTTTGAGAAGTTAAAGTTTTTGTCCCTTGTTCAGTTTCTTTAAATGACAAGGAGAGTTTTCTCTATAACCAAACATGTATACACACCAATGAAACCAAACTTCTATAGATAGGGCAATGCCCATTTTTGGTGTATGTGAAGATTTCTGGAAACCTCAGAAATCTGGGTTAGACCGCTTGTCCTTAAAAGGGACCATATATACACAAGAAAGCTTGTGAACAATAAAATATATGCAGTTGAGTGTGTGCACAATAGTTTTTGCTAGATGTATGAGAGTTACTCTAAAGTGTTTTGGTACAAGATGTTTTTTGCTGTTGAAATATCAAGGAAAATGAGTGTGTAGTCTTCATTTAGAGAAAATTGGTGGACATTCTATTCTTTTTTCTTTGTTCAGTGTGTATAGACTTTCATAAAATGATAGACAGACAAGACATTGACTAATTCATTTTCTTTTTTCTCAAAACAGAAGAAATAGATGCTGATAACTTTCTCAAAGCCTTCATGGAGAGACGCACTGTAAGTTTTGTTTTGTAAGGCTCACAGTAGAATATGAAATCCTAGCGCAATGGAATTGAAATATATGAGTTCTGTTCCTTTATGTGATTTCTCTATTGACATTTTTGTTCTCATGCATGCTACTGTCAGGTGTAAAATGTAGCAGTGAGAGAGATCTTAGTGATAGATACGTGGAAGAGAGAAAGGATGTTTCTATAAGGGACCGGCACAAGGGACAGATGTAGGACCGAGTCATGTGGATAAAAGATGTCATTTTGTTTTGACAAAGTGACTGAAGATCCCATTGAGATGTGGTTAAGTGACAGAAAGTCCCATTTTGTTGTGACAAAGTGACAGATGGTCCCACTGAGGTGAGACTTAGTGACAGAAAGTCTCTCCTGACTTAGTGACGGGCCCAAGGGACAGGTGCAGGACTGAACCTTGTCAGTACAACGTTGCAGTGATTTATCAAGTCGGTTCTATAGCTCCCATATATCAGTCTAATATTTGTCATGTATTTTTTTATATGTCAGAAACCAAACTGGTAAATCAGTTCATCCTGCAGTGTTTTAGTGAAGCTTTAATTTTCATCCTCTCCGCATTTAACATATTTATTCAGTGGAGTTGTTAGTAAGTGATGAGAGTTAGATGTTGGCTTTATGAGTTGAAATCTTTGGTCCAGTTAGCTCTTGTGGCCTGTACTTCTGTAAGCTGAAAAGTTCTCAAAAGAGATTGAAAAGTATTTGGATCTCTAGATGGTCAGAATCAGTGCTGATAATTTTCCGCGGATTTCCGCTTTTTTTGTTTTTTCCAAAATATTACTACAAATAAAAGGTGTCTGTCATATTATTGTAGTTAGTATTAGCGTTCTATGTTGAAATTTCGGGATTGCAACGGGTTGGAATATTTTCCTCTTTTTTTACTTTGTCTCATTATCAGCACTGCAGAATAGATGTCAAATGTCATAGGTTTGGACTGTTTGTACCTGGAAGCCAAGAATGGTTATTTCATATAACATACATCATCATATGTTTTACCTGGTCGATTTTGACTCATTGTGTTGTGTGACATTTTTGTGTGACAGTATTGTGTGTTATGGGTTATAATATCCTAACTAGAGAGTTTTGACTTGTGATGTTTGTGGTATGAAAGTACTGTGTGTTATGAGTTATGTTTTACCATGATGGTATATGACTGGTAACGTTTGTGTTTTTTGCCTCTCCCCCAGGTATGTCATCTGAGACGAGCCAAGGAGGAAAAGCTCAACCAGATCATCATGTCCCAGGGCCTACACTTCTAGCTCAGAACCGGCTCATGTTGTTTTATATTTCTGACTGTACAAGTTTCATGAAGAAAAAAAGACTGATGCCTGATTTTTCCCTCTGATAAACATTTGTGCCAATAGACAACCTATGGTACCAACAGACAGATGTATTCCATAGCAAGAGACAAGTGATGTGTTTTGTGACAAAAGACTGATGTGTTTTGTAACGACTGACAAATTACATGTTTTGTAATAACAGAGAGCTAATGTGTTTTGTAACGAGAGACAGCTGACGTGTTTTGTAACAACAGACAAATGTGTTTTTGTACCAATAAACAACTGATGTTCTTTACGAAATCCCAAACATTCCTTATCCACCTGACCTAGTCACTGAGTTACAAGTGCTGTGAATTAAATGTGTCACCAGCGCGGTGGAATCAGGCACTCATTAATTTTTAGGCATGTGGAGTAATATTTATCATCTGAATGCTTGTTCATTTGTCTTGCTTTCAATGAAAAAATATCCATCTAGAAGTCGAGATATTTGTGGTTGAAAGATTTTGGGTTTGCCTGGTTTCAGATGTAAAATTAGGGAGAAAATGGCTGCCCAAATTTGGTGACATCATAGCTTGAGAGTCCTTTGAAACTGAAAATTTATATTCTGTGCGCCTTTGATCATCATTTTTCAGAACTATCCACATAGAAATGTGTGTTTTTAAATGGACGTAAAATGTGTTTCGTCAAAACAAAAACAAAAAAATTCGATAAAAATTGCGAAATTGGCGGAAAAATGTCTGTTTCTTTGATTTCATCATTTTGACGAATGCCCGATTTCACCACGATGCCTCACAAATGTTGTTTTTTTTTAAATCATGACTGATTTCCATAATATCATACACTGCATTATTTCTACCCCTGTTGTCAGATTGCTTCAATTGGAATGTATACCTGTGAATAATACCAGATCCACACAGACTGACATAATTCGTTTCTGTAGTAATGTGATTTTGCAGTGGTGAAATGTTTAAGAAATTTTGAAACATTGTCACTTGGGGTTTGTGACTACCCCGTCCAAGATGAGGAGGTTTTATGGTAATGTGAACAACTTGTCAGTGTGGTCCCCAACATAAAGTTTCTGGCGTATAGATATGCGATTTGAGGATGTCTACGTCCGTGAAGTATGTACAGTTCTAGAATTTGTGCTTACGTTTGACTCTCTCGTCAGCACATTCCACTCCAGTACTGGCAAGGGTTGTGTGAATATTGTTTGTAAATAAAGGAAATCAAACTTATTCAGATTGTTTGTTCAGATGCTTATGTAATAAACTGATTACAGATTGTTTTTATGATGTGTACCATAATAGCAAACGCATCTTCTGTTGTTCATGTTACATTCGTGAATTTTGCGCACTACTTAACGAACATGATTAATGACTTGAAAGTAATTTATGATGTAATGAATTTCAGTGTGTGATCTGATTTCTCTCACTGATTTCTTCCTCCTACTGTCAACATGTCTCTGTAGTTCTTGGTTCTTCATTTTCATTGGTCATCAATATGATTGTGTTATGGGCATTCTATTCTTAGTTACCCATCCTATGACTGTGTTTACTTCTCAGAGTCTGTCAGTGTTCGGGAACATTTCCTGATATCAGAAAAATTGTTCATTTGTATCGAATTATGTCCTGGGTTGTATGTTTGTTGGGAAATCAGATATGTTTGATGAAGGCGTGTACATTAAGTTTTGTCACCTCATTCTATAGAATTGAATTGTGAGTGGAAATGTTTTCCTATGTATATGTATAAGTAATCATGAGTATACATGGATAGTTTTCTTTTTACTTTGTCAAGTAGCCTGATGTGTATAGCGCTGCCAAAGTTCTCCACACAAAGCCTGTTTTGGCATTGTCCATGACAAAATAATCCTGATCATACAAAAGAGTGTATAAAATTTTTTATTTTGATTTACCTGCTGCATGCTTTTCTAGAATTTTTGCATTGTCATGAGCCTTGTCTTTCATTCACAATAACATTGCTTTTTTTGGTGTTTTTTCTATGATGTAGCATCGATGTTGTGAAATCTTTTTTCTTTGTAATGAGAGCAAAAAAAAGTATTGCTTTTCTTTGATGTTCTTTTGTTTGCGTGTAAATGTTATGACTTTTCAGTTGAAGTTATTTGTGGGCCCCTGTTGTAAACGTTCTTATATTATCCGGACAGTGGGAAGGTCAAGATCTCTGATGAACAAGAAGTCATTAGCATGTGAATGTCACTGTTACAACTTCCTGAACACTTTGTCAGGAGTTACCCATGGGTACATAGCTTTATACATGAAGGATGAGTCTACAGAATGTATATTTGCGAATGATTAGTCTGTATGTGAATGATATGGGAAGTCTACATATACAAGCATTCTAAATGTATATGTAAATCGAAGCAGTCTTGAACGGTCGTTCATGACACATGATGTAAAAATGTGTTCCTTTTTTTACGCCCATTTTTTTTGCAAGTAAAAGAATGTCTTCAAATATTTTGTCAAGATACATTTCCATGTATCGGTGGGTTGATGTAGTGGTAGGAAGGTATACATCTCATCACATTTTATGTGTAGCGTAGTAGATACACTTTAATTGTGGCTTAGAGTAAGGTTGTGGCTGTTTAAGAGCATTTAGCTTTTCATGCTGAAAACTCAGTAGTGCAAAAAGTCTTATACTGGTCCCAAATGTTTGACACATAAGTGAAAAATGTTTTGACACACTTGTGAAAAATGTTTGATGCACTAGTGAAAAATGTTTTGACACACTTGTGAAAAATGTTTGATGCACTAGTGAAAAATGTTTTGACACACTTGTGAAAAATGTTTGACACATAAGTGAAAAATGTT